GAAACCATCTGAACAAAGTGATAAGGAATTAGAGTCCTGAAAATTAAAGTGAGCAGTAAATTGAGGGGGTGGGTTGTAAGGTATTATAAATGGATGGGTCTGTTGCCAACTATGCCTAAACTGAGGCACAGAATCATTCCAGAATCTAGAATCTTCTTGTTTATTATATGGTTGTTCAGCTGCCCATACATCTCTTCCATGGTCACAACTTTGTCTCATGCCAGTTCTGTGACCACTTGGGGCATTACACATGTATTGTTCTTTGTCAGCTCTGTAACCACTTGATTCATTATAAAAACATTGTCCCTCATTACTCTTAAGTAATGTCTTATGAGGCCATTCTTGAGAGCTTATATAAATTACTTGATTTGATTTACTACAGTCCAGAGGTTGATGAGGTGAATTTGCTTCTGTCCCCTGTAAATGAATATCTAGACAACTTTCCTTACTTTCAAGCTGATCAATTTCCCTGTAGAACTGTGACAATTCATCTTCTATTTTTGGCATATCACAGGAGATAGCTTGCACTATTTCTTTCTCAGAATTTCTGCCAATAATAGTATTTGATCCTTTTGGGCAGTTGCTTTCAATATACTTTTTCTTTTGATTATGTTCACGATCACCTTCACTTTTATAAATGGGTCCAATAAATGCTTTGCTTGTGCTGTATAGTTCTGTCTCCCCTTTATTCTTATGTTCCCTAATGAAATTGTTCTTATCTCCATTATGAGCTACATTGCTGTTGTTAGTAACAGAAAAATATTCATTTTCTGTAATCTCAGCTTTGTTTACTAAACCTGAAGATTCTGTTGAACTTGGTGTTTTATCAGGGGGTGCTTGGTTAAATTGGTTTAACATTTGTGCATTTTTCCCCCTCTCTTTTTCCTCCTCTTCCTTCTCTTCTTCATCATCATCATCAGATAGCGACAATGGAATAAAACCAGAATGGGTTTTTTTAATATGTATTTCCTCATGAAGTCTTTGTAATCCATCATAGGATTTACCATAAGGCTCTTCAGTAGATTTCATCTTTTTAGAAGAGGGCTCAGCTACTGAGGCATCCTGATTTTCAAAGTATCTTGGCTTATACACAGCATGAAGCATCTTAAAAATAATAAAACATGTTTAAAGCATTATTTCAATTATGTTTCATGTTTTGACCACACATTACTCATGCAATGATTGAAGCTAAGCATGCTGAACAGAGTATACCCACTGAAACCAACAGATTTTTCTTCTGAGTAAAGATACTAAATAAAATAATTGCATTGTAAAGTTATAAGAGATTGTGAAAAGGAGCCGAAAGGCAAAACATATTCTTTGGTTTACAAAATGCTTTAGCATCAAGGTGTTTTTATATTTCAATGACAGTATATAATACATTTGCTATATATGTTAACTTTAAATTGCCTCAGAAAAAAATATCAAAAAAGGTTATGAAAAAGCTGAGGTCAAACAACAATAAAGTGGCTCAAGCTTATTTAGAAAATACACAATAGCAATCCTCAAAGAAAAATAAGCCCTTGCCACTTCAGAATTTACATCCCAAGTCGTACTGTTTTAGCTTTGCCCTTTTCTAAAAAGATGCCACATATTACCTAAGACTCATGATCTGGATTTGGGATGGCAGCCACTCCAATAATCTCCCCACACGGTGTCTGTGTGTACACCAGGGTTTCTCAACCTCGGCAACTTTAAGAGGTGTGGACTTCAACTCCCAGATGGCTGGCTGGGGAATTCTGGGAGTTGAAGTCCACACATCTTAAAGTTACCAAGGCTGAGAAACACTGGTGTACGCTATCTATTCTTCACCAAGGCCAAGGTATGCTTCCCCTTGTTTTTACACATCAGGCATCCCAGCATCACTGGGCATGTTAATCCTACACCTTCGCAATACCCTTATCCAACGAGCGACAGGAGCTCAGATAGAAAAGCAGAGCCCCAAGGAAAGGCTTCCTTCCTTCTGCCCCCTCAGAAGATCTTGACTACAAGTCCCACCACCCTCAGTTAAGCGACTACCCTTACAGCTGAGGGCGATGAGAGCTGTAGTCCAAGAGGGCCAGATTGGCGAAGGCCGGCGGATATATCCTCCGTAAACACACGTCACACAGAAAACAGCGGCCGCCTACCCCCGTTCTCCCACAGGCTGTGCAGTACAGAGGCTTCCTCGCAGTCCTTGCCTCATCACTACTTAGCATCGCTCTTCCAAAACAAACTTTCTATCCGCATCTGGAGACTAACCTCAGAACAAATAGGCCACACGCTCTCCAAGCATCCCGGAAGCCAAGCGGAGACCGCCACGCTCCCCCACTCAAGCAAACCCGACCCCCATAAATCCCCAGATCGCCTCTTTCCAAAATGGTGGCCTTCCACAACGTCGCGCATGCGCGAATAGAGCGTTCTGTAGTTCTCACGGCCTACAAGGATGAAATACATTTCCCAACATTCCTAGAGAGTTAATATGACATCACAGAAGAAGAAAAGCGAAGGCTGTAACCCGTGGGAGAGCGGAGTATTGAATTCCTGAAAAAGCCGTTGCGTGGGGCAAGTTTCGTAGAATACGTGAAACAAAAAAGGGAAATTCTCGATTTTTACTTGACCTTGATGTAGCAGGTATAACGGTCGAACAGTTCGACCGTTCGAAAGATCTTTAAAATAATAAATGTCTGAATGCTATCCAGAATCCAGTATATGAAGCCGTCCCCGCGATTGTCCTTTCCATGTACTGGCATCATACCGCCTAGTTCTACCTACCATTTATCACTTGCAAAAATTCGGATGATCGCTAATTGGCAGCAACGAGGTACAAAACCTCTACTTTTCGTCCTGACTTTTGCAGCCCAGATGTCGTAGCCCGATTACAACCGGCTTAATTCCCAGCCAGCTTCAGAACCCGCTTTAGAGGGTTCCACATTCAGTTACATGAGAGTAAATGCCATAGAACTCAGTGGAGCTTAATCCTAACAGGTAGGGTGCACTATACGGTATGGGGGTTTTGCTGTGCCTCACATAAATTCGTTTATTTTAAACATTTTATTTTTTTTACTGTGTTCCTAAAAATGCCTTTGTTGAGGTTTTCTATTCTAGCCTTTATGTCTATAGCTTCCTCCATATGCAACAAGCAGAAATTCTTTTTCCATTGTTGCATTTCCACAATAGGCATAATTGAAAGCTGCCTGGAACTTGAAAAATAAGTTGTCTTCTAATTTATTTCATGTAAATTCAGTTGGTACAGTGGATAAGGCATTGAAGTAGAACTGATAATGTCTGGAATAATGTCCACCTTCATTTGTGGAAGCTCAAATTGACTTTAGGAAAGTCACATTCTCCTCATCAACTACCTCATAAGAAATAGGGGATAAAATGAAAGGAATTACCCATGTAAACTCCTTGACTTCAGAAAAAAAAAAGAGAGTAGATTTTAAAATAAAATTAGTTAAATAAAGTTTTAATAATGTTCAGATTTAATTTCATGTAATTTTTCTATGTATAGATCCACCTAAAATGTATGTACAGATCTTCAAATCTGCATTATCCAGTATTTTCTCCATTGACTAATTACCTTGGTAAGAAAGCTCCCTTTCAAAATATTTCTATAAAAACCTTGCTGTTATGTTAAAGCAATAACTTCTGGAGTATTAAAAACTTCCTCTGCTGGAAGTGACATGCAACTGCATTTATCTGGTCAGTATGATAATTCTAACCTGTAGTTTGCTGAAAAGATTAGAAAGGAAAGCTTAACATATTCTAACAGTTGTGATCTTGCTTTGGTTAGAGAAGTATATTTACTTCCCTTTTAAGATCATCTCCATCTGCTGCAATTAAATCAACCAAATACTTCAGAATATGGAATGGACTACAACAAAGATGCATATTTTCATCAGATCTATTTAATTCGTATGGCAAATATAATACAGTAGGAGGATTTGAAAAGACGACAGCTGGAATCAAAATTGGTGATCAAATCTGAGCTATGCTTAACTTTGTTAGCTAGAAGTTAAAAAGACTTAAAAAGCCCTTCATAGCATGGGCCTGGGTTATCTGAGGGATAGACCCTCCGTGATTGTATGTAGCCATCCCATCAGATCTAGCAGGAGAGGCATGCTATGGGCCCTGTCTATTACAGAGTGCCATCTGGTAAGACCCAGGAAGAGAGCCTTTTCTGATGTGGTTCTGCCCTTTGGAACATCATCTCCCCAGAGATAAGACTACCCCCAACCCTGTTGGCCTTTCATAAGACTTTGAAGATGTGGCTATGTCACTGAGTATGAGGATCAGAATGTAGGGCAGAGTCCATGAGAACGTTATGTTGATGTTGGATGTTTGTTTATAGTTTTATTCTGGCTGCTGACTATGTATGTACAGGTAGTCCTCACCAATGGTAATTAGGACTGGGAACTCCATTGCTAAGCAATGCGGTTGTAAGGTATGATGTCATGTGATTGTACCAATTTATGGCAATTCTGGCAGTCCCAGATGGCATTGTTAAATGAATCCCACTCAGTCGCAGCATCCCACAGTCATGTGATCGCCATTTGCGACCTGATGGTCACATGATCATGATTTGGGGACTTGGCCACCAGCTTGCAATTATATTGCAGTGTCCTGCAGTCATGTGATTGCCATTTGTGACCTCCTGCCAGCTTCCCCATTGACTTTGCTTGTTGGAGGCCAGCAAGGAAGGTTACAAATGGCAATCGTGACTGCGGGATGCTGTGACATCGTAATTGCAAGCTGGTGGCCAAGTGCCTGAATTGCGATCATGCGACCATGGGGATGCTACAATGGCCGCAACTACGAGGATCTGTCATAAGTACCCCTCATTCAGTGCTGTAACTTCGAACAGTCACTGGATGAGTGGATGTTAAACGAGGACTACCTGTATTGTTCTGCTGTTGTTTGGTTGCATTTTTAAATCACTGTTAGCTGCCCAGTGTCACAATGATGAGATGGGGGCCATATAAATAATAAATAATTTAGAATTCAATTAAAACAAGTCCCAAATAAACCTATTGGTAATGTATAATTTGTATTGTTTTTATATGTAATTGTATGTCATACGTACATACAGGTACTCCTCGCTTCACTTGTTCAGCAACTGTTTGAAGTTGTGATGGTGCTGAATGAGTGGTACAGACAGTCCTCTACTTATGAACTTTCAAGTTACAAATTTCCGCCAAGATGAAGAAACCTCCAACAACTCCAACAATGAAGGTCCTAGAAGGAAGGTCCAGAAGTTTATGGTGCACACGCATACGTATGCAGCGCACCATAAACTTCTGGGCGTACGTATGCGGCACACCATGGTTGGACTTACAAACAAAATAGACTTATGAACAGCTTCTTGGAACATAACCTATTTGTAAGTAGAGTCTGGTCCTTGAAGTTCCATACTTTGCACCACCTCCATGCGATTCAGGTGTTTGGCAGCTGGCTCACACTTACAATGGTTGCAGCACCCCACTGATCACCATTTGTGACTTTCCCTGCCAGCTTCCCACAAGCAAAGTCAATGGGAAAGCCAGCAGGGAAGGTTGCAAGTTGTTCCAGTAAGTCCCCTCAGCCTCCCTGAACTTTCATGGCGCTATGGCCTCCTTCTCCAGCCTCCCTGTGCTTGCACCAACCTGCAGCCTCCTTCCCCTGGCTTCCCTGTGCTTGTGGACGGCCTGCATCAGGCCTCCCAAGGCCTCCCCCACCCCCTCATTGCAGCCCTGCGCTCCTTACCTGGGACTCCTGCCACTTCCTGCTTAATGACCCTTGTGTCTTGGCATTATGACACCAACTGGGACTGCTGGGATTGTCATTGCTAAGCGATGCAGTTGCTTTCCAACTGCATCACTTAGTGATGGCAATTCTGGCCCCAGTTGCCATTGTAACCCAAGGATTTCCTGTATATATTCCTGTATATGTACTTGTCATGTAAATATTTTGTAGCCAATTCAGGAAGCAACAAAGCAATTGTTTAAAAAGAAGTAGATGTTCAGAAATATGTACCGTATTTTTCTGACTATAAGACGATACTTTTTTCTAAAATCCTTACCCTAAAAAC